TACCATACTTAAAAAAGTCATCATTCGTTTAGGTGTTACCTTCAACTACCGAATATTCAAGGAAAAAATACATATAGATTACAAGTCAATCAGTTTAATTTTTCATGACAAACTTAATGTTTAAAATTTGATTAGCACTAAGAACTGAGGAATATAATATCGACTGCTACTAAGATACTAGTAATATAAAATTGGTTAATTTTTCCCACTTTTATCAATACACACCATAGAACTCAACAATAAAATTGATGAGGATATAGAGTATACTTAAACATTTAAATTTATCTATCGTTTTTGAAACAAAATTTAGTTATTCTAGTAAAATTCCATTTACGGTATATCTTTTACAGTAGATACTGTAGCACAATACTAAAGAAACATATTTTTCATCATCATTTTTAAACGAAATTGTTTTAAAAAGGTAACATTGCATCCTATGAACCAGACAGTTGAAACATGATAATTTCCATGACTTGATAGATGTCATCAACATAAATCTGAAATTATAGTAAGGAGCCTTAAGAGCTTCTACTTTTTCGTGTTTACTATTCAAAACCACATGACAAAACACCAGACGGAAAATTGACTCTAATTTGTTTGATTTTGCGTCTACTACTTCGTTAAAAACTCCACCTGTAGCTATTCAAGAGCTACTGCCAGTCCCAAGCTCGCTTAAAAAAGGAGGGTTGAGCGTGGGATCGTCAACCCTACCCCGTAGAAGACAACCAAAACAACGCTAACCAGATTAAGCAATTTACATTCTGTCCTCCCAGTTGAAGGAAGAATTATGAAGCCTCATGATGAAAGCAGGGATTCTTCGGAAGTCACGAGGCCGATGTTCCTTCTAACAGCCAGGAGAACAATTTTGGAGCTACATAGAATGTTCAGACAATTATGGAGACTAAGTAGACCAACCAAATAGTTACGGAAAGGAGAGGATACAACTTGACGACGCGCAGAATAAGTGGAACTCATTGGACCCAAGGCGGCACAATATTCCCACACAAACGCATACACAAAGCTACATGGATCTCACCGGACTACACCACGTAGAACCAAGTAGATCACATTTTATCAATAAAACATTCAGAAGGACAGTGGAAGACGTGAGAATCAGGATAGGACCTGACATAGCTTCAGATCACCATCTGGTTGTGGCCAACATGGAACTCGAGCTAAAAGAACACTGATCAACTGGGGAAACAGCAGTAAAACGGTTCCATACAACCTCCCTTCAATATACTAACAAACTCGACAAATTCAAGATAACTCTCAACAACAGGTTACAAGCCGTACAAGATCTACTCAAAGAATGAGAAACTACTATGAAGAACAATTGGAAAGGGATTAAAGAAGCACCAACTTTACATGTCAGGAGGTTTTGGGCCACAACAAACATAAGCATGAGGAACGGATCTGTATGGAAACCTTGCACAAGATTCAAGAAAGGAAGAACAAGAAGACGGTAATTAACAACAGACGAACAAGAGCAGAGGAAGTCGAGACACAAACTGAATACACTGAAGCAAATAAGCAAGTGAGGTGGAGCATTAGAACTGATAAGCAGAAATACGTGGAAAAGCTAGCAACGACAACGGAAACAGCTGCAAGAGAAAGAAATCTGAAGCAACTAAATGACACTACGAAGAAGCTGGAAGGGAAACATAGAAAGCCAGACAGACCGGTCAGGGACAAACAAGGCAAGTCAAGCACTGAGATTCAAGGACGGAGGAACAAGTGGATAGAACACTTTGAAGAACTCTGGGATGAACCATCCCAACTGAACCCACCGAACACGGAAGCAGCACACACAGGTCTTCCTATAGCTGTTACTCCACCAACGACGGAACAAATCAGGATGGCCATCAGACAAATCAAGAACTGGAAAGTAGCAGGACCTGACAACATACCACCTAAAGCACTGAAGTCAGACATACAAGCATATGCAAACATGCTCCAAAGAAAGTAGATCTGAGCAAATGTGAAAAATGCAGGGGAATCACACTAACATCCGTACCAGGAAAATTTTTCAGCAGAGTGTTGCTGAACCGGATGGAATACCCAGTAGACGCCCAACTTCGAGATCAACAGACCGGATTGCGTAAGGATCGAACGTGCACAGACGAAGTCGCAACACCACGGATCATTGCTGAACAACCGATTGAGTGGAGCTTGTCACCATATATCAACCTCACTGAATATGAGAAGGCGTTTGACAGTGTGGATATGAGAATATTATGGAGGCATCCTCGATACTATGGAGTACCTGAGAAAACCGTCAAAATCATCCGGAATTGATACGACGAACTACACTGCAATTCGGTGCATCGAGGACAACTGATGCACTCATTCCAAGTGAAGACCGGAATCAGACAAGGTTGACTACACTAGCCCTTCCTTTTTCTTCTGGTGGTCAACTGCATTATGGAGACCTCAAAATCTGACGGGAAACACGGAATACAATAGACAGCTCGGAATCATCTGGACGATTCGGACTTCGCAAATGATCTGGCCCTTCCATCCAATGCACATCTACAAATGCAGGTGAAGACAGCCAGTGTGGCAGAAGCCTCTGCATCTGTAGGCCTAAACATACACATGGGGAAAACCAAGGTCCTCAAATACAACGCACACAACACCAATCCAATAACACTTGATGGGGAAGCTGTGGAATCTTTCACGTACCTGAGAAGCATCATCGACGAACATGGAGGATCTGATGCAGTCGTAAAGGCAAGGATTGGCAAAGTAAGCTCAGCATTCCTACAATTCAGGAGTATATAGGACTCAAAACGACTGTCAACCAATATCAAAGTCAGAATCTTCAATACGAACGTCAAGACATTTCTACTGTATGGAGCTGAAACCTGGAGAACTACTAAAATCATCACCAAGAGAGTACAAGTATTTATAAACAGTTGTCTGTGGAGGATACTCAATATCCGTTGGCCGGATACCATCAGCAACAGCCTACTGTGGGAGAGGACAAACCAGCTTCCATCTGAGGAGGAAATTTGGAAACGACGTTGGAGGTGGATAGGACGAACATTGATGAAATCACCAAACTGCATCACGATGCAAGCACTTACCCGGAATTCTGAAGGGAAACAGAAAAGAGGAGGGCCGAAGAACACATTACATCGAGAATTGGAAGTAGACATCAAAAGGGTGAATAGCGATTGTAGAGAACTGTAAATGATTGCCCAGGATAGTGTTGGATGGAGAGTGCTGTTGGTTGGCCTATGCTCCTCATTTAGGAATAACAGGTGTACGCACGTATATACTTCTCTATAGTTTAGTTTCTCGGTCTTGGCAAGTTACACATCCAACCAGCACTATAAACTTTGAGTTCAGAAGTCAGCAAACAGAGTCTACTATAATTTTTCCCAAATAGACATGGTTAACATACAGGTATACTGAAACCCACCACACAATAAAGTGGAAAATAACAACTATACACCAAGCCCAAAATTGGCTGAGAAGATGGGAGACTGTAAGTAACCGATTGGTGAAAAATTAGGAATAGTAAATCGTATAACCGTTATTATGACGATCGGAATATATATACACATCGTAGTCTGGTTATTCAGTAATTTTACAACAAATTATAATTGATAATAATTCGAAAACCAGTCCCATCTTTGCCAATATTCACACCGTGATAACAATTGCACCCCAAACAGTTTACAACTTACCCTTGTCAATATTAGGTGTAGTGGACTTTTATCAATAGTTATGCTATCACTGTTTGGAAATGTGTTTTAAATGTAATTTTTCCCATTCAACTAGTTCTCTAACATATTTGAAGAACAATGCTACTCATAAACTCTTATTTCTTTAACAGCGCTGAATCTCATCTGGAGGTATGTGTAGCAACTTCAGATCTTACAGTATATTTGTAGTCAAAAAACAAAATTCATCCGCTGATTTCCGTAATAAGCAAACGTTTCAGAATATGGTTCCACTCTTCTTATATTATAGGTATCATCATAGGGATAGATTCATATGAAAATGACAATTATTCTAATCAATCAGGAGAACTCTAAAAAATGAACAATATAACTTATATTAAACAAAGCAAACTACTAAACCTCAGAGAGCTCTGTGTCTTACATCAATCTTAAGACACTTCTGCAATCTGCACTCATGATTCAGAATGAAAGTCATCTTCAGACTGAAAAATATTTATATAAATAACTCAACTAAGTAATTATTGTGTCTAAACTGGTGACTAGTTCTGAGATGGATGTCTCAAAGTTATATAGAAAACCTGTGACTTGTAGAATTGACCAGATTGAGAGTAACTTCGGTTGATAGGTACAATATAGTATTCATATTAATCATTGACAAATTGATCTCGTATTTAGATGAATAAGTCGCTTCAGTCAAATAAAAAACTCAATTTGTATATCAAACAGTATTCCAGAGAGGAAATTAATGAATTGTTATGCTTAAATTCTGGTATTAACGAGAATTTGTCTTTAAAAACTATATCACTGTTAGAGTTACAACTTTTAGGTGATAAACAGATCATTACTTTTTGTAATTACTGGAGCCTTACATAAATTATCTATCTGTCCCTTAAAGAAAATATTTTTTCTTTGAGATGGCACTAAAGACTTACTTAAATGAATAAATAATACTGTTTTGCACTGTACTAGTTGATAGGTTAGTAATAAAAATCCATGAGTAAATGAAAGGAATTATTCGCTCAGGTGGAATATTGATTGATGTTACATCATTTTTTTATATGAATGATTTCATTGCGAAACGTTCATCTTCATTCGAAATATTATCGTCAGGTACCAAAGTCAACCACGATTTGAATTACCAACAAAAATTTATCCGGCTCTTATGATTATGAATGGATTGATCGAATTTCAGTTTTAAAAATATCAACAACGGTATAATTCAAACCATTATAAGTTAAATTAATACTATATGGTATTTATTTTATGTTAACATACTTAATACCATTATTTTCTCTCCTTTATATTTAGATGCTGAAGAATTTCCACCATCAGTAACGGCTGTTGGAGGTAGAACAACTTATGAAAATCCACAAAATCCTTATCAACTAAGTGTACAAAGTGGAGCCCCCACAATTAATACAAGTCAACCAAGTAGTAAACGTTTGAAAAAACAAACATATAGTGCAGGACGAAGATGTTCATCATCTGTAGGTAATATGACAATAGGTGGTGCAGGTTGTTTATTAGGTGGGCTCAATCTACAACTACCTCAGTTAGATGCGATACAACGTATGCAAAGAATACTGGATATGCGTTTACAAAATCTTCAAGTATGTATCATCAAGATTTCAGTTAATTTTATACCAAACTAAAAAATCTATAAATTAAACATATTTGTAATATGTTTTTTGGTATTTGAAAATATTAAAAGTATCTTGTAAATTGTTTATAAGATGAGTATTGTTTTATCAAATAAAATCTACACTTTAACATTAAAGATTCATGGGGAATATTCCATTTTGAAGACAATTTATGTTACAGATTTACTCCAACTAAATAATCATTAAGGAATCGACCGCTGCTTCATTCACATATATGACTCGTCAGTACTGGACATCCACGGATCTATCATGAATCATGTCCAGAACCATCAGGCAATGAGACAGGAATGGTACACCTTTAAATCACTTGCTTATCAAACAATCGTTAATAGATCCACAAAAGTGTATGTGACTATTCCCCATTCATATCATCAGTCGTTATGATTTAAACTGTCTTAACATCAAATAACTTTTACAAACTTCCCATTTTAATAATAACGATATGCCCGTTCATGAATAACTTTGAGAAGTCGTGGAGTCCTTTTGAGGAGCAGTGACTAATTCACTACATGGCAGTACTAAAAACCAATTTGACAAATCATAAAACTCATAATTTACAGTAATATTAGACAATTCAGAAATCACTGTACTATTTGAAATTAAAATTGAATAATTGCCCACAATTCATTAAGAAAAATGTGGAAGCACGGTTCACTTATATCAACAAGCAATTTTACTTTAAAGTCAAAACAGTTACAGCTTTTTAGTTTAGTCAAGTTGCAAATTTACTAGCCACACAAGTTAGTGTCACACGTTACCAGATAATCGACAAAATATCATTGATTTAAAGTTCAGTTGTTTTTCAGTAGATCCAAAGTAATTCCATACCCTTTTAGTAAATATCGTTTAGAAAGGTATCACTTCCATAATGTTCAAAGCAGGATGGTCTTTTCAAGATGAACATCCAATCCTCATGATTTAATTGACTAGTATGAACATAGATAAAAATATTTTATACCGTCTGGCTAAAGTAGGTTTTAAAAGACTTTGGAAATCAAAGTCACTTTCTAATCAACCAAAAAATATACAAATACTAAAGCGAAAACATAAGAAGCTGTTGTAACGGGTGTGTGTGACTGCAGGGTTTAGATACGCAGCGTTATTTATCGATCGCGATCTGTGACAGTGGACACGTAAACATGTAAGGACGACCTAGTGCCCTGATTGGCCCTGCCTCGCTGTCTGTCCTAGCCAGTTGAGTCAAGAACACAAGTCACAGCCTCTGGGTTATGAATCATTGTATTTCAAACATACTCTATTTATATACCAAGCAAACAAACCACATCGTACCATAAAATAGGAAACAACATTTGTACAATATTTAACAAGTGAAATAAACATCGACCAATAAGAAATGTACATTTAAGGTTCAAGGACACCATTGAACTTAACATGGTAATTATTGGTCTCTTTTTCCGACTCTCCTAACAGAAGCCATGTTCAGTATTTACATGATTTGTTTGTTAGTTTGTTTCTTTCTCTTGAAATCAGATATGCTCCATACAGAAATTCATTTATATGACTGGTAATAATTTTGTCCTCGAACAGCTTTATATTCATCTCGGGTACTCTTCAAGATAATAGTGTTAACTCCAATAATAAAATTCATGAAGTTTTGTCAATTGAAAATAATACCACAATGATACGCTATTCTTCTGAGAAACGTGTAGGCCCTCGGACCAGTTGTGTACATCAGAGTCCCTGGGTCTACATATTGCTTGATTACAGGAATAGGCATGAAGGGATTCTCAAAACGTTCCTTCAGAAAACCAATATCCCAAAAGCCTACTACACTTGAATAAAAAAGACGCTAATCCATTCTTCTTTCAAGGTTCTTCATTTTCCTGGTGACAATTTCGCCAATTTTTAACTGCAACTACATATTGTTGTCAAAAAATACTCATCACCAAGTCTAGACTAATCATCCTGTTTCGACATGAGGTTATACTTCAAGGATCAATTGGATCTATAAACCTTGACTCTGATTGATTTACTAAAATAAGACACCTTCAACTCTTTATTACATAAAGTGTGAAATTGTTCACTTATTTAGTAGTCAATTTACTACATTATTATAAGTGAAAAATGTACTCACACAAATATGAATATATTGATATATATTTCTAACACCGCATAGGCTCAATCAGACCAATTAAATTATGCCTCCGGTAATGCTCGTATTAAAGAAGAAATATCTCATGTTCGTCAATTTATGAGTGAAAGTCAAAAAGCGTTATCATGTATTGTCAAGGCTGTATCACAAATGCAAGATCAAGTAAGTTCTTTTCCCCATTTAATCAAGTACAATACAACTCCTTATATTTACGAGAATCAGATGGTACTACTTATATGAGCATATAAGTAGCTTTATAAGGAACGATGAGAATATCCGGTACTAAGATTCGATCAAATTGCTAACAAGCAAACAAAACTTTACTTAATATCATATTAGAAAGATTAGTTGTTGCTCTATTGTGTCAGTTCAGTATAGCACTAGAATGTGTATTTGGGTTTGAAAACACCAAAAATCATCAATTTTTCTAGTTCATGTAATTGATGTGTGTATATTGAATCATAAAATCTTCCACACGATCTTCAAGAATCGTACATTCATAGCAGAATTACTTTAATTGAAACCATTTTGACAAATATAATTTTATAACTCCTTTTGACCACATCAATATGTTATACAGAACAATAATCTACGGCTTACATTTAAATTCAACACATATCCTTACCCACAATAAAGCATGAACTTTATCAGCAGGTAGACTGTAAAATCCAGAATAAAACAAAAAGTCTGAAGCATTCAAATACTTACAATAATTAAGACAATATAGAAAGTAAGAAGGTAAGAGTGGGACACAAAATAATTTGATCAAATAACTGAACAATCATTTCTGTTCAGGATCAAGAAGATGTCTTAAATTCTAATAAATAAGTTACGAAATAATGACTATCGAGACCTGGTATCGAGGATATAATCACCTTCAACAAAGGTATATATTTAAAAGGAGAGGAATATCGTAACCATAAACTTGTCCTTAGGTTTCAAGAAGTCGATTTACTTGACGAATAAAAATTACTACATTAAACCAAATCTAACATAAATCCACTTAATATTTAACTTAAAAATTCAATTTTCAATTATGATCTTTTTGTTGTAGATTAATTTAGATTAGATTAATTTTACTAACATCCCTTGCTAAGGTGGTACAACTGAATACTAACATGGAACAATGGATATTAGCTCAAGCTAGTGGACATTAAATTCGTACTGTTTTCATGGGACAACGTAAATCTAGTACAAAATCACGTGACCGACATCGTCGTGATCGTAGAGAAAGAGACCGTGAATGGGAATCATTCGTACGTGAAGCATAAACCTATATATATAGTTTAAATAAAACTAAAAAGACAATTTCTCCCTTTTTTCAAACAAACACAAAAGTCCATACAAACAATTCAATACATAAAATGTATTAATCATTACTATTCACTTTCTTCTCACTCCAATTAAACTTACAAATATTTTACAAAACAATATTTACTTTAGTCGGTAAAAATATTCAAAATTATCAGCCAAGAAGCATGACAAAAGTGGATTTTTGGAAATATAAAAAAAGTATATGAGAGATTCAGTGTAAAATTTTAATCTTGATCTGTGATCCCATAAAGCAAAACAATGAACATGTTTAAAAATTAACTTTTGCTTTATTAGCATGAAAAATAATTAAGTAATTTAGTCAAACTTTTTTCAGGATAAATATACTGAGGTAATGTGAAAAAAACTTGCCTTGTCGTTCTCGATATATTTTCAAGATGTTTATTTAATTCCAACGAATAAATAATACAGAGAATATGTACAAGATCCTAACTAAATAAAAATGGTGAATCGGCTGGTGTGGTAGTGAATCTTTATCAATTGAGGTGGTTAGCGTAAAGATTATGTATGTTCAACTAACACTAACCTTAACGAAGGATGTTCGCTGATGTAAGTATAGGATGAAAGCTAGGGCACCCAAATTTAGATGTGATATCACTCCATAAAGTGATTGACTGTTGGACTTAGCCCATTGATACATTCAGTCTGTCTAGTTGAAGTTTATGCGTTTATTATGACTAATACTTGAAAACTATGATTGTCATGTGAGTTAGATATTATCATGTTAAATCTCTGTTCCATTAAATTCACAGAAAATTTAAGTAAAATAATTATTTATATATTTTCATTATGGGGTTGTGGAGATTGTTGAATTTCATTGAAACTATGAACCGATCTAAGTTAGATCAACATTGGGAATTTGGAAGGACTGGATGGCTATTTTGTCCTAATATCCAACTCTTCAACAGTGTGCATCCGCAATCCTACACACCAGAACCGAACCCAAGACCTTCTGTCTCGTGTGAGAACGCTTAACTTCCAGATCATTGAGCCGACATTCAATAGTATTAGTGTCTAGCCTCGATCAATCCATAATATTGCGCGACCATCTTCCAATGTCTTCAGTGGGCAACTTCCTGTCAGTATTGGCACTAAGAGATTGTCAAAAGAGGATTTGAGAGATATTGAACTCTCAGAACTACCCTAGGTGGGATTATTGTTTATATTCTGGAACTTGTAAGTTTAAGTTTAACTCACAAACCGTAGTTATACGTTTCACTGTTCCACATTTACCATTAATTAGTCATTCCTCTATGGTGCCATTTCTGTCGCACTCATGACTGAGTTGTCATTTCGCACATGAGTTGATGCCCAATCAGACAAAAAAATCTATAATATTATATGGGTTTTAGGTTAAAAGTAAAGTGTAGAGTATAAGTCTTGTCTGATTACTGTGTTCCGTCTGGTCATTGAGTAAAATGGAAGAGGTAGAGCCCGTAATAGGAAGCGTTAAGATATACGTGATCATTGTTTAAGCCAGCGAGTTATTGGTCAAGAGGTCAATGCAATATCGGCTAAACAGATCACCGGTTCTATAAACAATGGGTGATTCAGTCAAAAGCGGATTCGATAATACGAATCATCCTTTAATGAACGTCTCGATTACAAAGGCCCAAATGCAATGGTAATTATTGTTTTTGAATTCATAACAACGATTATTAACAATGTGTTCATACAAACTAAGTCTAAAACATAAAACTATATATTTTATTACATGATACTAAACTTGTCAAAATATACTGACTGTTCGTCTAAGTGAGTTACACAATCGGTTAGAACAGCTGAATAAAAACCAAAAACTGGATTTCATTTTCATTTCCAATATTTAAATTGTACATAGAAATACGAAAAATTCCTGTAAACTAGATGTCATCAATTTAATACAACGCAACTGAGAAAAAAAAGGAAGGTTATATAATACTAAATGCTAACCGCTCTTTTATTTCAACTGGGATTGATGACTCATTGGAGTCATAAATTCAACTCAACAACACCTACTTCCTTGGAATATTCGGATGGTTAAATAATTTGATTTTGAATTGTTGGATTACTAGATTAACATAGACGCCGACTCCCATTTGATCAACCGGGTAAAATCAATACCTCTTGAGAAAGTGTAGCTTACATATGGAGCTGTAAATAATTGACAAATCCCGCTAAAAACCATATTATCAACCAATAGACCGTAACACGAAAACCCAATATCGCAGTACTTGACCCAAAATCCTAGAGAATTGACGAACTATGTTGTTGAAATGTGTCAAAAGAGACAACTGCTGGTCGATAGAGTTGTGTCATGAACTGACTTATGTTAGAAATATGAACAATTCGTTCTTGCTGGTGATGTTAGATCCCCAGAACTCACTTGGTAAATGCCTAATTTAGTAATTCTATTTTAAAAATTTGAATTTCTTGTTTTCGCAGCAAAAGCATCGATTTACACCTTCATGTAGTACTTCACACTTGGAAGGACCCTAAGTGCTATTGGTTTGTTGCCTCTTAATATATATTTTGTAATCTTCCCCAAGGACATTTTTATGCTATATATATACCCTTGAGTTGTGCTCGTTGTTGTTTATCGTGCTTCTGGGTGTTTGAGGAATATAGTGACATCTTCTGAACATTGACGTCTATCTTTAGTTAACGGGGTCGGGACACATAGGAATAGTTAGCTGATTTGGTCATTGTCTCACTGGGTCTTCGTTCCGTTCACAGATTAGGTGAACTCGTAATCTCTTAAAACGTAGCAATTCCCTAACTTGGTCTGATGAAAACATCCCAGTGTGCCGCGAGATTGGAAGGTCTTGAGTTGTGAGTGAGCACTGAAGTCTCAAACTAGAGAGAAAGTGGTGTCCGATGTGAACCGGTTATCGGTGTCCCCGAAGAAATTTATCTTAAAGTTACAGAGAACAAGCTCCATTACATTTCTTTTACAATTCCCAGTGAAATAATCAAACAAAACATCACATTTTTGAAGTATTGTGTTCTCTGAACTGAATTCTTTAGTATGAAAGCTCTAATTGTCTTTCTGAACAATATAATCAGAATATACTTCAGAAAGAGATCCACTGGAAACTAAACACAATCGACTAAAACCTGTTAACCTATAGTTTAATCAGTTGATCGCGTATGGTCGTTCACGGGTTTGTTTTGGCTGCTTTTCCCTGACTTGGTCTCTAACTTTACATCAGCTCATTCTTATGGAATATGCGCTGGTAATGTTGTCTAAAAAGATAATGAACGCTTCACTACAGAAACCATCCAGCTCAGAGAACAGAACACCTTCAAACTAATTGTTCTCAGCGCTAAAAATATTCATCATTTGAAAATATATTAAGACAAACTAAGCTAAAAATGTCATTAACACTAATGACTTTTTGAAAGCACGTTGAAATATTTCGTGGGTTCCATATTAATCAACCACATTTGCATATTACTGCTCAGAATGTGTCAGAAACTAGATGAAAACAAAATTATTAACTTTTTTTCGAAAAAAACATCTACAAGTTGTTGAATAAAGAAACATATTTTTGGCTGATCATAAATACACATAAATATACAAAAATAGATGATAATGTGAAGCACACATTGTGAAGGCGAGGAAAAACAATAGTCCACTATACTTTACTTTTGTTTGTCTTCAAAATAATGAAATATGTATAAACAATCGGTGAAATCTTTACAAAAATTTCTAATATAACAGTATATGTGAAGAGGGAGAGAGAAGATAAAGAAGATATTTCAGTTATCTAACTGTACTTCATAGTTTCATATGTTGGCAAAAAAATAACGGAAAGAACATATGGAATATGGATTTCAGCATGTATCCCTTTAAACTAATTTTTATACAAAGATTAGAGAGTAGACAATTATTATGGAATAAGAGAGGATTGAAATGGTAATGAGGTAAGCAGGGGTTAAATCACCCTAAACAAAACACGGTCTCGAAAAACTTAAATACTCAGGTATGCACACATAAGCTATATATTTCCTAGACAATTCACAAATATTTTCAAACAATATACATATATATTGTGAGAGTGAAATTATTATCATTTTGAGTCTAAAATAACACAATCTTAATCTGACTGAATTTCAGAAGATAAATTAACGTTTGATCGTTTTGCAGGTGGTATAAGGAATGAATCCAAAGTTACTCTTTTTCGACCTGGAGTTTGTGATAAACCAGTGGTAGTAGTCACTTTCGGAGAAGAACAGTTTTCTTTACTGTTATTGACAGACGAAGGAGTGTCTTTTTCACTTGTGGGAATTTTGTTAGTAACTCCTTTTCTTCGGCTTGGAGTATGGGAAGCAATAGTAGTAGTCACTTTTGAAGAACAGTTCGCCTGACTTATGTTAACCGATAAATTAATGTCTTTTTCAGATAAATGAGTTTTTTTAGATTGAAACAATTGTTCATTCTTATGAATTGATAATTCCTTATCAGTTTGCTTACTTGATACTACAACATCCGAAGATTGTAGAGGCTGCAATAAAACAACTTGAGAATTATTGATAGCCATTACATTTTTGTGCGGTTCATGTAAACGATCTACAATTGTTTGTAATTGTGATTGTGGTACTTCTAGAGATCGACGACTAGTTGTTGATGCACCGCGATTTACTCTGATATTAGTTACTGCTACATCTGTTAAATATTCCCATGGAGGAAATACGAAATTATGAAAATAATCTTTATCAACTTCGTCCAAACTACTAGCAATACCACCACTTAATTCTTGAATATTGCACAGATTACAAAGACGCGAAGCATATTTCTGAAGTATTTCTAAGTTAACCATCCACCTAAAAACATGTGATTAATGGGTACAATAAAGAAAATGACACCAGCGTAAATATATCAAGATTTAGAATCTATAAAAAGTTGAGTCATCCAGTCCAATGCAACGTAGAACCTGGCACATGTGCTACATCGGTTTAAGTTCCCACATCCCATAAACATAGCGCCATAAAACTGTCAGGGTAAATCCTAGAACAGTGAAGTCAGTAACAGTAATAATGGTAAAAAGAAAGATTAGGCATACAGGATACAATTCGAAAAGAAAATACAAATTGGTGAGATAATTTTTTAAAAAATTTACGAGGAATTCAGAAACTTAAGATCTGAAGGAAGACAAAGAGTGAATGTATAAAACGTTAACGAAAAATGAAAATACATAATTACTGAAGGATAACATACCATAACAAATGGATTCAAACGCAGCAAAATGGTAAGTATAAAAAGTAATTTGTAGTACACAAAATAAGCGAAGATCAAGAAATAGTGGTTATTTATTTAATAGGTGAACATAAAATCGTAAAATTCAATTCCATTTA